CCCGCCACGCCGGCGGGCACCGACTCAGCCAGCCAGCTGTCCTACGACAACTACGAGAAGTTCAGCGCCCATCCCTTCCCCGGGGCGCCGGGGTACCCCACCTACCGACTGGGTTACCCCCAGGCCCCGCCCTCCGGCCTGGAGCGGACCCCGTTCGAGGCCTACGACCCCATCGGCAAGTTCGCCACGGCCACGCGCTTCTCCTACACGTCGCAGCACTCGGACTACGGGCAGCGCTTCCAGCAGCGCATGCAGACGCACGTGTAGGGCCGCAGCCTGCGGCACCTCTGCGGGGCAGAGGAGAAGCTGTTCCCTGATATTCAGGGCCATTGCTCGTGGCTCCTGTCCCCCACCAGCCTTCCCCTTCCGCCACGGCAGGTGGGGAGTAGGTCTCCCCGAAACGCCCCACCCGAGGTGCTCTGTGCATGCCCCAGCCTCCTGGGCCTGCCCTTCCCTCCTCGCCGGGAGGGAGGATGTGTCTTCTGACCTGCTCTGGCGCCTGGCCCCAGCGTGGGGGTGGGGAAGGGAAGGTTGTGGAGCGGAGGGGGCACTTTTTAGCATTCCCTTTCTATCCTGCCCTCTGCCTCCCATAAGCAGATGGAGGAGTTCATGTGGGAATGCGTAGACTTTGGCCTAGGGGACATGAAGTATAGGGGTGAGTGGCTCTGGCACATATAGGTGGAAACAGGATGGCCTGGCCAGAACTTCTGTCATCTGCATTTATACCCTGGTGTATCTCCTTCAGAATTGCAGAAGGGGCCTTGGATTTCTTTTATCTCTGTCTAGAGAACAACCCTGGCACTGAGTTCAAATCCAGCTCTCATTTAGCTGAGATGAAAATGCCAGTCATCTTGGCTGCCCACTGTGCACACCTGTGTGCCAGTCTGCAGAGGGATCCAGGTGTCTCCGGTAGCGCTGCCCCTTTCCCTCTCCTCTATGCTGGGCTAGCTGATGCGTCAGAAGGTCATGGTGGAAGAAGGAAAGGTCAGGAACCATGTCCTGACTCACCAGCAAGACAACTGTGTGCTACCTGGCAGCTTCCACAGCCCACACTAGGGGAGCCCACCCAAGCCCCTCTCTCCCCAATCTGCCCGGCTTCCTGGTTTGAACTCTTGAGCCTACCTGGGGAGTTGTGGGTGAGAGGGTAGGGTACTGTAGGCTAGTTTTCAAAGAAAACAACAATAAAAGTCTCATTTGGGAAAAAAAAAGTAATAAAGCTGTAGGGATTTCCCCCACCCAAATATAAGTCCTAGTGGAAAGGAAAGGGGGCACCTGTTCTCTACCAGATTCCTAACACCTTCCATTACTCTTTCCATCTCCAGGCACTTTGAATTCATTTTTAAACATCCAGGTGGTGAGACCTATCTTGCGGATGGGCCTTGACAGGCTTAGGGAGGGAACCTTGGCTAGAGGCCACCTTCCAGGGAGCATGGGAGATGTGCTCTTTACCCAGGTTTTGCTTTAGCATCTTTTTTTCCCCCCCTCTTGGATCAGTCATATTCCTCCTCTTTGCAGTGCCTTGAGCTTGGGTTGGCCAGCCCTGTGTGGGAGGCTCTGCAGGGAGTGGGTATTCTGAGCCCCAGACATACTGTCAAGCGTTGCAGAATTTAGGAGACAGATGGGTCAGGGCCAGGTAAGAGGAAGGGCAGATTGAGTAAGGTGGCACAGAGGACACTGCCGGCAGCCGTGACCCGTGCTGACACATACACATGCATGTACACAGTCCACCTGGCTCTTCCCAGCCACCACCTGCTAACCAAAGAGAACCAGCACTCCAAAGAAAACCCAGGTCGGCCTCCCCTTCCCACCGATCAGGGTCTGGAGGGTGCTCCTAACTCGCTCAGCCCTGACTACGGAGGTGGGGCTTCCTGTGCAATGCCCAGAATGTTCATGGCCCTTTCTCCTGGTCACCATTCATTCCTCATGTTTGCTTTAATGAGTTAAGTGCTGATCAGCCATGGGCCATCACCACCCTTTCGGGTGGGTCTGTGGTGTGACATTCCTTGCCATCTCCCCCACCCCCACCACTGGTAAGGATCAGTTAATGTCCAGGAAGAAAGTAGCTCCAGTTCTGGCCTCCCAGCTACCTCTGTGTCCTCCAGAAGGGACTAGAGCCCCACCAACCCACCCTTTCCAAAGCCTGGTCCAGGCTCCTGCCCATGTCCGCCCCGGGAAGTTCATGCCTCCTGTGTGATCCTTTACGTAAGCTCAGCGACAGGGCCTGCTAAGGGTGCAGGCTCCTCTGCAGACAGATCTGTGCGTATTTTTATTATTTTCACAGAAACCAAAAGCCACGGGTAATCCGGTTAAACAGGAATATTCCAAAATGCATTTTTTTGGGGGGGTTTGGTCAGATTCTCTTATTTTCCCCTTTTTAGTTTAAATGTTGGGCCCATTCTGTTGAAACGATGGAGAGGAGGGGGCCCAAGGTCACTAGGAAGGTCCGCTAACATTGCAGGGCCCATTCATTTTCTGATGTCTGATGCAGAGCTACTTCGCGCTCTCCGACCCTTAACACCTTAACTGGGGCCTCCAAGCAAGTGATGCCGTGCAAGGCGCAGGGAGACGTCGGCCACCAAAGTCGTCTCTGTTTGCCACAACTGGCACTCAGCTCCAGTCAGAATCTGAAGTGGGACCTACGGGTTAGGCCAAGTGGAACCACTTTTCTGGGGAGTAGAAGGTGCCCTTGAACATAGAACTTTGCTGTCTAAAGCCGGAGTCCTCCAGTGTGGTTCCTCAGTACTGGATGTGGTCACCTTGGTGGTCCTGACCACTTTTTTTGGTCAAGGGGTTTAGGAGTCAGGAGACCCGGGACCTCATTCTAAAGTCATTTACTGAGTGACCGTGGCCTACTTTTCATTGCCTCGGATTTCCTGGCCTGTAGATGAAGGAGAAGGGTTGCACAAACCTAGAATTCTGCTATTTCTCTCTGTTTGGTGAACTAGAACAGCCTGGGCATCCCTGGCGAGGAGTTGCGGACAGTGGGCTAAGGGATGGAGGAGTCGAAAGGGTCCCTTAGAGAAGCTTTCACCACTGGCTTCATTGTCTTGTCAGAAGTACTGTGAATGAGTTTCCACTAAGGAACCCCTTGATCCTAAACAGCACCAAAAAGCATGCCCTAAGCCTCAGTAAAATTAATGCAGGGTTATTCTTTGACTGTTGGGTAACTGTACTGCTCCCCACACAGAATTCTGACAGTTTTGCAAGGGTGTCTATGGCCAAGGCAGGGTGTGTATCCACTGTGACTGTATCCAGGTTTCAGACAACTTCCATGGTGACAAATGGGAGTAGCCAGCTGCCACTCATGCTCAGGAGCATTTTCCTGACTAGGGACCACTTACAAGGTGAAGCCTGCAGGCTAAGCTGCTTTGAGCCAGGGGACCAGGCATAAGTGCAGCCGGTCCCTCTGTGAAGGAACACAGAGGAAGGGCAGATGGGTCCAGCAGTAACGGCAAATTCTGAATCTTGAAGAGGTTCTTGTGATCCTGGGTGAGCTGTTGTTTCTTTGTGGAGGGCCTAGCCTCCATCCTAAACCCTGGGCCCCTCAAAGCCCAGCCACAGAGTTTGCATTAAGCAAAAACCTTCAATCAGAAAGGGAAGTGGCCAGGGATAGGAGCAGTGCTATTTTTCTAACAGATGTCTTGCTTGGGATGAAATGGTTTGACCACTGTGTCTCCAGACACCGTCTTATCCCAGCAGTCACTGCTTCCCTCATCACTTTGAGGGCAGCCTTTGGCTTTACAGGATGGAGCACACTGCCCTGGGATCTCTTTGCCCTCCTGCCCTCTCATTAACCAGTTGGCACTCTGTCAGGAGCTCAAGTGCTGGGCTCCTTAAAATGGAATCAGGTGGCCTGTCACTATAGGGTTTGAAGAAAATTAACTTAAGGCCGAGCCAGTGGACTGAACTGGCTCAGTCACTGCCTCTCTGCTGTGTGGACAATCTGTCCCCACTGCTACACTATCAAGGCCACTCCAGCCTCACGATTCCTGGCTTCTCCACCATTTTGGTGCTGTGGGTGCCCAGCCAGGTTCCTCGGCCCCTGCAAGCCGTGCTGCGTGCTGAGGGAGACCCCTAAAGGCAGTGGAGCTCCTGACCGTGGTGGGACCAGTGAGGGGTGGTAATGAACACTGAAATGCACAGACCCAGGGATGGAATTAGAAAGGCATTTATTTTTGTGAAGAGGCTATAAAATTAGCATTTAAATATCCCATTCCCTTCTCCCTGCCTCCTCCTACCCAACACCCTTCCCCCCATTTTCTCTCCTTTCCTGGAGGCCAGCCTCTTTCTGAAAAGCCTCCCCTTTATGCTCTTGGCCCTGACACTTCACCTCTGGGGCTGGCGGAGAGGACTGAATATATGTGGCCTGGGAGATGGAGGGAAGGGCACAATCCCATTTTCTTGCATCACTGTGAGGGAGCCCAGGTTCTGTTCCTGAAGAAATGTTTGCTGCCCATATTAGGTGGTTCTGGTACAAGCCTGCCTGTAAAAATAACTCCATTTGCATATAACTATCACTCATTCTTAACCTGTCTCCTGCCTCCCGCTCCTGGCTTTTTGATGGCCCCAACCAGTGACCTTGTCAAGTGTTGGTGGGCCATGGGCTCTTCTGTTAGCTTCTGGAGATCTTTAGATGCTGCCCCTGGGAATACCACTAACTCTGGGGAGAGAGCAGCCAAGGTGCCAATACAGTCAAACTCCACACTTGTTAGCAATAGTGACCCAGAAGTTTGGCCGCTTCCAATTTCACCAGAAAGAGACCCAGGGCTCCTTGTGGTCACATTTTCTACCCCAACTGTTCTTGGGATTACAACCTCCATTTGTGGCTCCAAAAGAATTTTCTCCACCCAAACCCCGATGATAAATGGATCCATGATGATAATTAAGAGAGAAAAATATTTTTGTTAGGACAGACCATCGTAGATTTTTAGCAATGTGTATCTGTGTGTCCTTCACAACTTTTCCTATTCTGCCTTTTTTTCATTTTCCTTTTTTAAAAAATATTATGTACTATATTTTTAGTCTCAAACACATTATATATTATATATATTTAATTTTTATATATAAATATAAATGTTCTAAAAAGTACCATGTTTTGTGTTGTTAATGCATGAGCAGCTCCAGTTCCTTAAAGGCTTGCCTGATTTGGGGTGAAATGGTCCAAATTTGGGGAAAAGATAGATTTTTGGATTGCGATTGCAGACTTTGTATTTGTGTCACCTCTAGGCCACGGGGCGAGCACATTTCACTCAGCAGTAGGTGACTGTTGGAGAACCCCGAGGCCAGTTATGGCAGTTCAGGGACAAACAGCTCAAGCCTCCATGCTTTAGGGACACACCATCCAAATGTTCTATTCGAAATCTGACTATGGGGATTGGCAAGAGGGTGACTGAATCTGAGATAAGATTCCAAGGGATTTGGGAACAAGGGTGGGAGCAGGTTTGGGTTCATTCATTAAAATGCAGCAGTTTGGGTGAAAAGCAAAGTTATCAGGTCTCAACCTTTAAACTTGTACTGAAACAAAATGAAAAAACAAAAACAGTTACACACAGAAGCCATTCTGCTGAGAAATTCTAAATTCTCTTTTGTAGAGAGGGCAAAGGATTCTCTTTGCTCATTTCTCAGGAGTGTTTGAGGATAATTTTTTAAAAAGTTGTTTTCAGATAATGTTTTGGAAAGCTGTAAGTCATTAGAGAGATACAAGGGTCTATTGCTTTTCTCATCCAGCTAACAATCAACCAAACTAAAGATGTTCCACAGCAGCCTCTTTGTACACACAGGACATAAGACACAGTCAGACAGAGATAGGGGTGGAAGAGCTGAAAAAATACTTTTGAGGTAATGCAACCCATTTCTCAGAAGGTTGGCATTCCCAGCCCAAGGCTACCACAGGGAGGGACGGAGCAGTGGGGGCTGCAGCTTGGAGGCCTGTGTCCAGGACCAAGAGCCTCTAGGTACCCACGGCAAGTGCAGCCTGGTTGGGAAAGAGGCCCAGGTGCAGGGTGAATCTCGAGGCAGCAGCCAGGTAAGCTGAACTGGCACAGGTGAAACATGGCATACAGCTGCAATCCAAAAGCAATCAGAAGGCGGGGGCTGCACAAGCCAGTTCCCGCAAACACGGAGGCTGGGTGAATTGTTAGGCCAAGTAGTGTTAATAGGATGCTTCCTGTGCTGTGTCCACTCAGGATGCATTTTATTCCTCCTGCATCCCCAGAGCCCAGGACAGGGCCAGCAGGCACTTTGGGACAAATTTGGAGCTATTTAGGGCACCACATGAGGCTCCAAGGAACCAGACACCCTTCTCCGGGCATAAGACAGGCCGCAGGAGCTTGCACCCTGCTTTAGGCTTCTTCCTGTGCCAGACGCCCAAGCCCCTCCCTCATGTCACCCAAGACTGAACATGTAAGTGATGACACCAACAACCCCTTGATCAACACTTTGCAGTTTTATTTTTTAATTTTTTATTTTTTTATTGATTTCAGAGAAAGGAAGGGAGAGGGAGAGAGAAAGATCAATGATGAGAGAGTCATTGATCAGCTGCCTCCTGCACGCCCCCTGCTGGGGATCGAGCCCGAAACCTGAGCATGTGCCCTGACCGGGAATTGAATCGTCATCTCGGGGCTCCTAGGTTGATGCTCAACCACTGAGCGACGCTTGCCGGGTTCTTTGCAGTTTAAAAAGCCACTCTCTTGTGAGTTAGTCTGCCTCACAACAGGAGCCCTTGCCCTGGGCACAAACATGCTCCTGTTTACATTTTTTCCACCGAAGTATGAAAGTTCAAAGTCCCCAAAAAACATTAGTTCTCAAAGAATCTAATCATTCAACCTTCCCTCCCCCCACTCAGCATTTCAACACAGTCAAATGGACTTGCTCCTTGTTTGGAGGACACCTTTGCACTTCCCTGGCCCTCTGCGCTTTTGGCAAAGCTCTTTTCTCAGCCTGGAATGCCCATGTCCTTTTACCTTTTCATTTCCAGATCGTACTCACATTACTCAAAGGCCATCTCCTCCAGGAAGCCTTACCTGACTCATTATTTCCTCACTGTCTCTCCCTCCCGGGAAGCCCCAGGACAGGTGGACTGTATCTTGCTTACCTCATTTATAACTGTCTGCTTTGATTGAACCTCAGGGTTTTGTGTATGACACATTAATATTAGCACTTTCTTCTTAAAATAAAGGCACTTAAAGGCAGAGAGCATGTGTCATTTAGTATCCTCATTATCCAACAGTGTCTGGCATATAGTTGCTCAGTATGTGCTGGAGGAATGCAAGAATGGAGGGACAGAAAAGAAAGGAAAAAGCCCATAAATGCGATGCATGAAGGCGCTTTAACCCAGGAGTTGCATGCTTGATGAAGTGGTAGAGCCAAGCTGACAGGCATTACCAGTACTTACTACTACTGAGCTCTCTCTGAGTTGCCTGGCAAGGCCTACCTGACTAATTTAGGCCAATGTACTATAAACAGAAGTAACATGTTACTTCCAGACCAAAGCATTTAATTGCTAGTGTAGGACCTTCCTGCTCTTCGCGATAGCACCAGGAGCTCATTCGTTCCAGATGGTGCAGCTCCGTAATGGTGGAGTCCCTCTCTGCCTGGGCTCCTGAGTGACTAAGTGAAGCAGAGACCCTCTGCCAACTCGTGATGAACATGTAGCTCGAGAGAGAAATGAATCTCTGTTTTGTTAAAATATTGAAATTTTGGAGTTGTTTGTTATTGCAACATAATATAAAAATGCTAATTAACACAGAGCTTCGCCCTTTGCTCCTACTTGACCTTGGGTAAGTTACTTTACTTCTCTGCATCTCACTTTCCTTCTCTGTGAAATGGACTAATAGAAACTCCTATCCCCTATAAAAGCTTAACAGGTTTCCTAGCACAGAAGTCCTCAGTATGTGTTAGCGTTTGTTAGCCTGGAGAAAGGTGGGCAATGGGTATTTGTTCCCTCTCCCTTTGCCCCTTTTCTTGCAGACATCATGAAAGAGGTCAATAGTTGTCCAGGGGTTAAGAAAAGGGCATAAAATCTGGTTAAAACCCCGCAGTGCCTGGTAAAACTCGGTGATTCAGGGCAAGTCAGCACACTTTCTGAGCTTTTTCTTATCTGTAAAATGCTATGAGCCTTCCAGGAGATGAGATATACAAGCACCCTTTGTAAATTACTAAATGCTATTCAAATGTGAGTTGGTTACCTCGGTCTATTAACACTTTGTATCACCCCAAACCCGCCCTATCCCCACTTTCTGCAGCACCCCACACCACACAACTCACTGCTACAAACATACCCTCAGCATTACACACACCCACTATATATTGGCAGCTTTAGCAGTGACCAGGAGAATGTGCCCATCTGGAGAGCCCATCTTGTCAGCCCCCAGGGTTCTAAAACCAAAAGACCAGCTCTTTGCAAAGCACGATTCTGGGGGAGAAGAAAGATCACTTCATCGACACTCACTTTCCCATTTCCTTTACTCATTGTAATTCGCTGCAGAGGCAATCTCCTGGGAGAGCAGAGCCATCAACTCCCAGAATTGAACCCAGGAGCTTTGTCTCTTTTTTCTCTCCACATAATACTGCTCTCTTGATGGTCGCTATGCAAACACATTCTTCATTCATTTGCAAACAGGGAATATTTCATATTTTGAGGCTCAGCTTAATGTCTCACCTTCCCAAAGGACACT